TATTATCTATATATATATATATATATATATATATAAACTTGTTTTAATTTCTTAAATAATTAGTAATATATCTAACAATAACATTAGAATAATAATTCAACATTAATTGAATTTAATGTGATGTCTTCACTTATAAAAATACTTGTTCATAGTATTTTATAAATTCATTAACAAAATTTAATCATAAGGAATAAAACAAAATGTTATCAAATGTTAGTGACTAAAAAAACTAGTTTTAAAATTGAGAAACTAAAAACAAATTTATCTTAAATTTAAAATACACATATTTAAACAAAAAATTATTATAAAAATAAAAACTCTTAGTACAACTTTTACAAAAAATTAAATACTAAATATTTAAATATGTCTCCTGAATGCTGTTTGTTATTATAAATTAAGGTTTTCAAAACAAAAGCATCATGGTTATACTAATAATTAGCATACAGATCTTACTTCTCTCTCAAGAATTAAGATAGCAATACATAGAAAAACTGAAGCAAACATGTACAAACTATAATTCGCACTTCTTTATTGAACAATTCTTGTTAAGATTCAATAGATATATTAAGGACTAAAAAAATGTGCATTTGGTACAAAAAAAAAAGCAAAAGAAGCAAGATATTTTGCTGATCTGACATGGTTCATCAAACAAGAGGCATCCAGCACACATTCTACATTTCTCTGCCAAAGCAACAATGGCACACATTCTATGAAGCTAGCAGTTGCACAAAACAAAACTAAGCTAATGGTTTCTGAAGCAAGAATGTCATCCTCAAGTAACTCTTTCCTACTATGTTGGCAAAATGCAAGTAAGAATCAATTGCTCACAAATTGGCACTTTCTCCAATCTTAGATGGGCATGCCCTTTGGAACAATTTTGTCTTTAATCCACATGTAAACTGGCACCAGTACGTAGTAAGTGGATGCAATTACACCAAGAATGAACCGATAAAGAAACACAAATGGATTCACAGCCTTCTTTACATCCTCTACCTTCGGACCAAGCTGCATAAACCCAAATCAAACAATACTTCAAAAGTTGTACTCAAATTAGAACAAGAGAACAGTCTTCCAAATAGAGTAAATTATGCATGCTTCTATGTGGATACTAATTTAGTGTCCATTATATATAGGGAATACTGGGGGATGTTTTACTAGTTATCCATTCCATAATACTCCTTTTGTTCGGCCTCCATTAAATTATGTGTATACTATTGCACTTTGGTTCCTTGAATGTGATTTTGATGGTTTATTAAACAAACTAATGGATTTGGGGCTAGTGTGTACTGATATAATATCAGTAACTCAGTTATAAATTTTGTTTCTCCTTAGTTGATGACGAATTTGCCCCTTGAGAAATTTCGCATCTTTCAAATTGCCCCATTATCCTATCCATGGTTCATGGATCCCTTCTTGAAACATAGAGCAACATACATTGGAACACCACAATTATTGCTGCCACCTTCACCACCACTATTTTGAGGAATAGGAGTAATTGAATTTTTATTTTTTGAAAAAAAAGATACAAGTTTAAAGAGATAAGGGAGTAATTGCACTAATTAACACATGGAGGTACAATGGAAAAAAACTAAGATGTGCACATCAGACTCATTGCATCCAAGATATCGTCTGCTTTTAAAACTTTACAGGATTGTCTTTTAAAAGGCACTCAAGTAAATAATGAGAGAAGGGTGTGTATAAACTGCACTTGACCTTGATTCTTAATGAAAGTGGAGTTTTTGGCAAAACAGAGCAAAAATTATTAGTAAAAGCCTATATGCCTAGAGCAAAGAAATTCTTTTCACCAAGGTTCTAACTCTATGTAACATTGTCTAAAACAGTCCAATTCCCAAGTCAACACTACACAAAGCCACTGGTATGTGTTTCACTATTTGAGAATAGTGAGTATGCATTTATTTTGACAAAATCAAAACCTGTAATCTTATATGAATATAGAGATGAAAAGGAGAAGAAAGAAAATGCATTACCTTGAGGGGAGAGTCTCCAGACAAAGGCTTGACACCAGTGACTGAGCAACCCATGATGAGACCATGCCTGCGCACCCCACGATACCATTTTGGACCAATCCTTTTGAGCTTAACATCTTTGAAACCAGCCTTTTTAAACCATTCAATGTACTCTTCCTCCTTTGGGAAGAGCATCCACACATCTGCAAAGAACTGAGATAACCAAAATGTTGGGTGCACAGGACCAATAACACAAGCTTTGCCTCCTATCTTTAGCACTCTGTATGCTTCCTTAATGCCACGTTGTGGGTCCGGCCAGTATTCAATACTGAACAACACATTGATTATTATAAGTGTTTATCAATTTGTCCTTGATGTTGCCAAACGAAATTTAATCTTGAGTTTGTAATATGTTACAATGTATCATTCATTTTAATCCTTTGTTTTATTCATTTTAATTTTATAGACTAATATAACAGAATCTTTCAAATTTAGATACCAAAATGTATATTTATTCGTTTATTTTAACTAACATTAAGACGAAGGTGGATGATATTTTGCAACATTTTGTAAAGTTAGCAACTAAAATTAAAGTTTCAGATCAAAGTGGAGGTTTACCCATTTCTCAACTATTCCTTTTTTGCTTAGTGATCATCAAGTATAAGATGTACTTATAGTTTGACTAACATCAATTGGGAAATTTCTAACAACAAGAAACTCTTATCTCACTGGTTGATAATTACTATATAGATCACAATTCACATGACTCTAGTGAGCTCGGTTAAAGACCAAATTCCCACCAATATTATCCATATCCAAACCAAAAAGCTCATTGGCAGCCTTAGATCAGATAAATTTCCTAAGTGCAGAACAGCAAGAGAAAAAAACTGAAAAGCCCTTCAAAGGCAAAAAATGGCAGAGCCATGATTGTTACCTTCCAGCAGAAACATATCTATCAGCATAATCAGTTGGAAATGGAAGATCTTCTGCATCCCCTTCAATTATCTTGCATTCTTTCAAGGGCTCCTTCTGCTTAGCCTTGGCAAGCTGGTGAGGTGACTGGTCAAGAATTGTAACATTTTTGGCATCCACATGTTTCACTATGCCAAGAGTGGTGAAGCCAGTTCCTCCTCCAACATCCACCACTCTCATCTTGCGATCATAGAGATCAGCAGGCTCCAGTGCCTCATCCCTCATGTCCTCAGTCCAGTGCCCCGGGTTTATGATGTGATCATACACAATTGACAGAAACCTTTTTTGAAATACAAATAAAGTCTCCCATTGTTAGAACAAGAGAATCGGCATAGTTTATAAGTACACACAATGTTTCATTATAGGTCTTTTAGTTGATGAATAAAAGCAAATCCATGAGTGTTTAAGTATAGAGAGGGCAATAAGACGTGTGAATACCCGACCTACAACAACATATAATGCTATTCTTGAAAAACTATATCTCCTCAAACAAATACAAAGCAAAAACTCATCGACCTGTAGAACCAAAAGGCCTCCTTCTTGTGCTGGATGAACCTAGGCTGAGAACTAGGCCTAGAGGCTGAGATGCTGCATGTTGGGGTCATGTTTTTTCTCACCCTTAACTTGTTATGAGACAACACACCCTTCTTGAAGAAGCACTTGTCCTTAAAGTTAAGAGTAAGACCAGTTGAGCCTAAACCAGGTGGAGCTATGCCACTAATGAGGTTTAGATTTTGAGCTCCATTGAGCATTAAGGAGGCCATGGAATGCTATATATAATATGAAGAAAGGTTATAATGTTAGACTTGCAATAAATGGCACATTATGTGGAACGGTGACCAAAATGGACAGCAACTGTTGATAGTTTATGTCATGAAAACAAGACAGGAACAGGAACAGGATGAATTGAAGAGTGTTGGAAAAGGGTGGTAGTGGTAATGTGGTGCAAGTAAGGATTATGCGGTGAGAGAGAAAGAGAGAAATTGGTGGTGGATATGCACCACATAATCCTAGCGCTAGTTGATGATCGCCACTTGTGGCCATCCCATCACATGAATTGGAAGAGCTTTGGATTTTCATTATATACTAGTTTAGTTCTAGTACTAGTACTAGATAAGATGCAGTGACTTCTTACAATAATAGAGTCTTGTTTCTTAAATTTATGTTTATATTATAAATCAAAATTCTTATTATTGAATTAAAATATTTTTTTAAGAGGATAAAAAAGTTTTTTTAAGTCACTTTGTTTCCTATTAACTTGTGTGACTTCTTTTGAATTAAACATTTATTTTTATTTTTATTTATGATTTTATTTATTTTAAATACGATTCTTTATATAAAAAATAACTAATTCATTAATTAATAATAATAATAAATTTTAATTAATAATATCACAATATTTTTTTATTCCTAAAGTATTTTTTTAAAATTAAATGATAGTAATTATGGTAATGCATTACACTTGATTTAAAGGAAATTTTTACTCATTTGTATTGTTAATTTATCAATAAATGTATTAATTAACTTGCGTGAAAAATAAGTAGAATGTTTATCAATGAAATTTAGATCAGTTGATATTTGAGTGATAACAATAAAAATTAATATTTTTAAAATAAGTTTGATGATTAAAATGATCAAAATATTGATTCAAAATTCAATCATTTAAACGTAATTGAATCATAGCTAAATTGATATTAATAAAAATCATGATAATTAAATAATACATAAAATGATATTATAATATCATAATTTAATAACGTTAAAAGTAAAACAAATCATCATTTTATATATTTTTAATATTTAAAGTGCATGTAAAAGTCTAAATATAATATTTAAGTTTAAATTTTTAATAAAATATAATAATATATATTATCAATAACAATTTTACATATTTTTTTTCATGATATAACAATTTTACAATTAGAATAGAAAAATCTTAAATTAATAGAATATAAAATATAAAATATCATGATACTAAAAAAATTATAAATTAATATAAATGACTAAATCATATATTTATAAAAAAATTATTAAAAATGATAGATAAAATAATTTTTTTCTAATTTGTAATTTTTATTAAATATATTTATCAATTTATCATAAAAACATATTCCATTAAACCTAATTCTTTAAGTGTGGTTATAAGTCTACGACATTTTTCCTGCTATTTTTTTTATCTTAATTATGTTGTTGTTGTTATTATTATTATTATTATTATTATTATTAAAGAAAAAAATATTTTGTGTTTCTTTATTTGAAAATAAAAATAATAAATAAAAGAGGTAATGAAGTGAGTAGTTCATTAAAAAGTGAGATTTTTTTTTGTTCGGTGGAAGTGAGATGTTTGAAAAAGAAATTTACCAAGAAATAGAGAAGGCAGAAAGTAAGAATTAAATAAAAAATGATAAAAAAGAAAAAGTGGATAAGAAGTAATTATGGAGACAAAATGGTTTAAGGTTTATTATTATTTTTAAAATACTCTTAAAAGAAAAAAAAATAGGAAGAAAATTTGAAATAATTTTTTTTATAAATTTAAAATAATTTTTTGGAGGATTAATAAGTTTTTTTTTACAAATAGTTTATGTATAAATTAGTTTTAAATTATTAAAAAAAAATATTTTATTTTCTAAAAGTGTTTCCAAGAGACTTTAAAAAAAATATACACAAGATATACATCCTTTTATTGTATAGATCAATATTATTGATTCATTTTCAAAATGAGCCTTAATAAACTTCTTAGAGTGAAAGAGAGGAGAAACTACTAGGGATGACAAACATACCCGTACTCGCGAGTAATACCCGAACCCGTCCCGACTTTGACGGGAAATACCCAGTTTAACTCGTATGAGCAAAACTCATGGATTCAAGCTTAGGTTATAAGTATATAAAAATATTTTCACCCTAAATTGAATTTAATATATTGAATATATGGATCTTAATCTTTTAAAATCTAAAATCTATTTGTTCAATTCAGATTTCAGAGGCAAAACTAAATTTAATTGATGTCTTTACATTATTATTCGAATATTAAATGAGTAAATGTTGCTTAATTTAATATTTTTTATTTGGATAAACATTAATTTATACATAAACTAATTTTTTCTTATAAAAAAGTTTAATTTTAAAATTTCTCTTATATAAATACTTAAAAAAACCTTAAAATAAACTCCTGCAAGTGTTTCCTTTAATATTGCGACTTACTGTGGTTGTGGGAAATTCCGACATAGACCCTTTAACAAAAAATCCAGTCTTCCCTCACCTCCTTTTGATCCGAACCGAACCAAACCAAACAAGAAATTTCCTCACTAAAACTTATATTCTTCCTTGCCCAGGGGCTCCGGAAATGTTGAGAGGTGTTAAGCCGAAGAGATTAAAGCCCAGAGTGTGAAATCGAAAAAACATCTATTGATGAAATACATATGTATAGATACGTATATAAATAACTATTATATTGGAAAGAAGGAACTTATTATTGAGTCCTTAAACTTGTAGATATGATCATATCATTCATCATACAAGTTAGCGTATTCCCATGCTCAACTCAAGACGATGGAAATCACGGTTCCTGAACTTGCTGTATTTCAGATGTTTTTGGAAGGGAAGGTTCCTGAACTTGCTGCTGCATTTCAGATGGTTTAGGAACTTCCCTGAGCTGGACGGAGTTTTCATAGCAGTGAGAGAAGTCATAATGAGGGAATTTCTCATACCACGTATCTTCTCTTACGTGTGTGTCCCAGTGTTCCCCACAACTGCTTTTGCCGTACTTGTGAATCCAACCAGAACAATTGTGGTGCTCACCCCATGTTCGGTTCCATCGTTCTCCATGCTTCCCTGCCCACCACTTCTCTCCCTGCTTCACACCATTACCATTTGGATCAAAATTCTCATCCCATTTGTCACCCCATTTCTCCCATCCACCGTCCACTGATCGCTCAGCCCATTTGTCAGTGTATTTTATGCTCCCACCATACCCATCATATGTACCACCCCACCTGCCAAACATAAAAAACACAGTTACTCCCTATTTATTGCTCAACATTAGGGGCATGTTTGGAGAAACAAAATCAAAATAAATTTCTCCATAAACAAACTAATTTTCGCATCAGTTAAAAATAAGACTTTGAAAAAGTTAATAATTGAGAACTTTTAGAAATTAGTTTATGCATTAACTAATTTTAGTTTTTGAAAAAGTTTATTTAATTTTTCCTTCCTAGTTTGCTTTCTTAGAAGTGTTTTTATAGAAATATCCGAACAGGTTTTAGCTAAAATTTCATTCACTCGCAACTTCTTTGTAAAAATTCCATTTGTTTTTATCAAAATATCAAGATGGAATTCTCAAATTTAATACAATACAGACCAGCTAGTAGACAGAATTGAATGCAAGCAAAGAATAGAGGTTACTATTATTACATCCTTTCACCAGTGATATCATTTGAGAAAATCAATCTTAAAGGAAAAAAACAAAACAAAAGATAAGAGCATCGAATTTGAATATATACATATAAAATTTTCTAAAATACTCTGATGGAATTCATAGTTTAGACAGAGTAGACATCTTGACCGTAAACATATTTCCTTGAGTTCATACAACTATATTGAAGACTTAAATATTTTTGTTTTGGTAGCATGAAAATCATAAACTGAGTTCAAAATAATTCAGTCTATGTCATCATGTTACAGGCTTATGGCCAGTTTGTTTTATTTTATTTTATTTTCTAATGCAAGCCTGCATTAGACAAGAGAAACTTTCAGTTCTTTATATCAAATGCTCTCAAAAATCATGCAAAGTACCATTTGCAGACAAAGGAATCTTAAACAAACATACACATTAAAAGATTATCAAACATTTGAAAACAGTAAGGATTAAATGCTGTGAAAAGTTTATTCAAATTCTAATATAGTTTTCTTGACAATTACCTTTCATGCCAAACATGAGCATGCCCAGGATCAAGTGGTGTGTTTGGGTCAATACTGCACCACTTGTATGCCCATTTTTCTGTTTGACCAGAGGCATTGTAGCGTTCCCCCCATTTTTCCTGCCACTCGGTACCGTAACCATTTTTTCCCCACTTGTCTGCAGTTTTCTCGAAATTCATAACCCCATTTTCCTGCAAGCGAAAACCATTCTTGGTATGATTTTACTGAAATGAAATAATCTGTAATCCAAGACTCTATAGGTCAGACCTATGGATGTTGAGGCTAACTACAGATAATGCATTAATGATTGGCAAGATACACTAGAGACCAATTACACAAGAACTCAAAAAATATGCCCAATTCCACAGCAGAATACGTGTAAATGGAGGCAGGAATGTTAACTACTAGAAATATGCTAATCACGCTAAATGAAACTTTATATTAAGAAAGGCATTTAAATGCATATTAAAATGTGTCAAATTTTGCTAACCAGACTGAAGGATTCTCTCCAAAATTCACGCCAAACATTTCCATTTGCATCACGTCCGGATTTCTCAGAACCAAGTTCCTTATAGCCAAAATCATCAGAAGCCTCCCAGTACTTCTCTTGCCATTCAATAGCTTTGTCAGCACTAACACCTCTGATCATTGTCCACCTGCAAAGCACACCATCAGGTCTTTGCTCAATTCCTGTGTCTTTCCACCATCTTGTTCCATCCGGATTCACTCCAATAGGTGACGCTTTATTGGCCTCACTAAGGGCACGTGCTATTTCTGCTGCATAGTCAGAAGAAGATGTATCGTGTATCTGTTCCTCTTCCAAGGGAAGTGACAAGGAAGGTGACTCGGAAAGAGACTCTGGATCGGATGCAGATTTCACTTCCTCAACATCTAAAAATGACTCAAAGGGTGGAAGAGAATCACTATGTTTGCTTTGGGAAAGTACAGTCTCAAACGGAATAGAGAGAAATTGTGGTGTCCATTCCTTCTCTTTAAGTGCACTGGGCAAGGTAGGAAGAACAGAAGACTTGGTATCTAACCGCAACCCACTGCTATCATCTAAAGGAACGCCACTATCCACAGGGGGTGTCCAGGACCAAAAATCGGGGCCAGGCACACCATTTATCTGACTTTCCGACTCTGACACAAGAATACCCCTATTCTGCACTCCCATTCCTGAATCCGATTCTATCACACATCAAACACAAGAATACATCAATACATAAAAAATCAACACTAACAGTAACATCTCCCAAGTACAACATCCATTTACAAAAAAAAAAAAAAAAAGAAAGTAAAAAAGCCATTCAATTTCATAAGGAATAGAATCCACAAGTAAACTCAAGGTTTTAAAATGTGGTTTCTTAGGAAATTGCAAACAAATACTGTCCATGCAGTCACGGTAACCGATAAAACCTTGACATTGCAGCTGAAATCGCAGTCCAGACTGTTCTTAAAACATTGAGTAAACTCAGCAATAGCATCTTCAAAGCATGTGTGATTAGAAACTATAAAATTCACGCAATTTGTAAACCATGTAACCTCAATGTCAATAGTAACTTCAAATTTTGATATAAAAAAAAAAAAACAAAATTATAAAACATAAATCCAGCCAAAACTAAATCGCACAAAAAAAATAAAACAATAGAAACTTTGATTTCCTTATTGTTTTTCCGTTCTTGATTATCAAAATTCGAAAGAAAGTATCGATATGTCAACAACGACTACAAACTTTGACAGAAGAATAAAATAAAGCAAAAAGGCAGCCACTATTTAATTGCAAAAAACAAAATAAAACAATAGAAGTATTGAATTTCATATTGATTTTTCCTTTTCCGTTCTTCTTTTCATTACGGAAAGGAAGTGTCAGCAGAAGTGAAAATGGATCCTGTAGAGTTGAAAAATGTACTGCACCGTGCACCCTGTGCAGTTTAGATAATTAGACTCATCACCTTTTACTTACTAAATGCACACATTTATTTATAATTAATATATTATTCGAAAGGCAATGCATGCAGCTTGAAAAAGACTCTGCAGAGGATCTTAATCAGCAGAAGTACTTATTCCTCGATTGTCGTGCGAATAGCGTAATTTGCAGAGTGAAAACCCTAAGAGGAGATCGAAAGAGGAAATTGAGTTTTACCGTGATGTATGTCGCCGTCGCGGGTGGCGGCGTCGGGATCGGCGGTATTGCGCTCCTGAAGAAGTGCTCTGGCTGCGGCGATTGCTGCGGCGGCGCGATCAATGACCTGCATGCGCTGAACCCTGTCGCGCTCTTCGGAGGAGACCTGGAGAAGCTTCTGGAACTCGGTGGTCTTCTTGTCCAAATCGGCGTCGTGGTCGTCCTGCGGCGCTGCGACGCGGTCGGCGATTGTGTTGAATTGCGTGTTCTTCCTCTCCCTCTCCACCGCCTTCTTCCACATGTCCAGGTACGAGGATTCTCCTTCTATTCCTCCGCTCGTTCTCGCTCCCACTCTCACTCTCACTCTCACTCTCACTCTCGCGCATCCTCTCTTTCCGATTCCTTGTTGCTGCAGAAGGTGCACCCATGGGTACGGTGCACCCGCGGCGCATGTTCCGAGGTTCATGCAGAAGCAGAAGCAGAAGGGAGCGGAATCAACAGTGTGTGTGAGAGTGTGTGACTAAGGAGTGAGGATCGTGATAATGAAAATAGCAGTGTGTGAAAGTGAAATGTGACGCTTCCCAGTATTTATACGCTGCTTTGTTCCTAGAAATGGGAAGGGTAAAATAGTCATTGGCCAGTGGCAGTGACGTGAATAAGGCCCAACGCGGAGGGTTCTTTCTCGAAACAAAAGGGAAGGGACATTTTCTTCGCCTGCAAGGGAGGAACCAGACAAATACATCTCTTTTTACAACTAAATGTTTCTTCCTATTTATTTATGTACCTTGAGATTTCTTTTTTCTTTTTTCTTTTTTCTTTTTTCGTGAAAACTACTGTAAGATGGTGATATCATATCATTCTTCCAATGCTTCATAATTGTTACATTAAATTTACATTTATATTAAAACATATCGAATGAGATATTTTTGTGATTAAGATTTTAAAGGTGAGATAAGATCCATTCCAAGCACAGGAACTCCGATTATTTTCCACTTTTAACGGTTTTCAAGAAGATGAGGTACGTGACATCCAAGAAGATGGACGGTGACAATTAGACAAAGAAAATATATATTAAAAAAAATAAAAATAAACTTGAGGGTAAAATTCGTAAAAAATAAGTTCAGAACATAAAGTAGGATTAAACCAAAAAGTAAAGTGATACAATTTGTTGTAAAAGGAAGAAAAAGTAGAGAGAAGAAATAAGACAGTATGAGATAGAGAAAAAATTTTAATCAGTGTATTATCTTTGGGAGAGGAGTAACCTATTTATAAGTATATGGGTAACTGAACAATTACACAATAAAGGGAATAATACATAATGGACATATAAATGGTAATGATTGATAATGAATATTGGCATTCACTAATTAAGCCACTAATTATTATTCATAACACTCCCCTTTGGATGTCCAATATTTAGAATGTGTCTCGTTAAAACCTTACTAGGAAAAACTCTGTGGGATAAAAACCTAGTGAAGGAAAAAGAGTACATCATTCATAAATATTTATTTCTCCCCCTCATGCATACAATCTTTAAGACGACGGAGTCCAATCTTGTGTATCAACTATTCAAAAACTTTTCTTGGAAGTGACTTTGTAAAGAGATCTGCTAGGTTGTCACTTGAGCGGACTTGTTGAACATTTATATCACCATTCCTTTGAAGATCATGAGTAAAAAAGAATTTTGGTAGAATATGCTTTGTTCTATCTCCCTTTATGTATTCATCTTTCAATTGTGCAATACATGCAGCATTATCTTCATATATAACCGTCGATGTCATTTTTCTAGAAGATAAACCACAAGTTTCCCGTATGTGTTGAATCACAAATCTTAGCCAAACACATCCACGACTTGCCTCATGTAATGCTAAAATTTCAGCATGATTAGATGAAGTGACTGATATGGTTTGTTTTACAGATCGCCATGAAATGACTGTACCACCACTTGTGAACAAATATCCTGTTTGTGATTTACCATTATGAGGATCCGACAAATAACATGCGTCTACATAACCATTTAGTTCTGGTTTGGAAACATTTGAATATAATAACCCCATATCCATTGTACCTCTAAGATAACGAAGTATTTGTTTAACTCCATTCCAATGTCTTCGTGTAGGTGAAGAACTATATCTTGCTAACAAATTAACAGCAAATGTTATATCAGGTCGTGTATAATTAGCAAGGTACATTAGTGTTCCTATAGCACTAAGATATGGTACTTCAGGACCAAGTATTTCTTCATCCTTTTCTTGGGGTCTAAATGGATCTTTATTAACATCTAAAGATCTTACAACCATGGGAGTGCACAATGGATGTGATTTGTCCATATAAAATCTTTTAAGCGCCTTTGTTATATAAGCTTCTTGATGCACAAGAATTCCATTTTCTAAGTATTCAACTTGCAATCCTAGACAAAACTTTGTCCTTCCTAGATCCTTCATTTCAAATTCTTTCTTTAAGCAATCTATTGCTTTTGAAGCTCTTCAGGAGTTCCAATAATGTTTATGTCATCTACATAAACTACAATTATGGCAAATCCATTTCCAGATCTTTTTACAAATTGGATCATTTTTATATCCTTCTTGTAACAAGTATTCACTCAGTCGATTATACCACATACGACCTGATTGCTTTAGCCCATATAGGGACTTATTTAATTTAATCGAATAATCTTCTCTAGAAATTGCATCGTCAGGCAAATTAAATCCTTCTGGGAGTTTCATATAAATGTCAGCATCAAGAGAGCCATATAAATATGTTGTAACTACATCCATTAGATGTAAATTAAGATTTTCATGTACAACCAAACTAATTAAATATCGAAAAGTGTTTGCATCCACTACAGGTGAATATGTCTCTTCAAAATCAATACCGGGTCTTTGTGAAAAACCTTGAGCAACTAGTCTTGCTTTGTATCTCACAATTTCACCATTTTCATTTCGTTTTCGCACAAAAACCCATTTGTATCCAATTGGTTTTACACCTTTTGGTGTACGTAGTACCGGTCCAAAAACTTTTCGTTTAGCAAGTGAGTCTAATTCTGCCTCAATTGCATCTTTCCATTTTGGCCAATCATTTCTTTGTCGACAATCGTTGATGGACTTTGGTTCTTGATCCTCAATATCATTTATTTCATTTAGCGCTATATTATATGCAAACACGTCATCAATATTGACATTGTTTCGATTCCATCGTATTCCATTCATGACATAATTTATTGAGATCTCTTCATTTTCAATAATTTCAGGTACCTGAGTTTCTTCTGGAACTGGAATATGAGTTATGTCAGAGGAATCTTTTTGAGTTTTTACATCCTCAATTTGGTCATTTTGCTCTTTAGCTCCCTTTTTTATTCGAGGATTCTTATCCTTGGAACCAATTGGTCTACCACGCTTCAGGCGTATTTGTGACTCGTTTGTAGTATTAACTTGTCCAACAGGGACTTCGACTCTTATTGGAGCATTAGCCGCTGGTACATATGACTTAGTCACCCTTTTTGGATCTGTGAATACATTTGGTAATTGGTTGGCTAGATTTTGCAAATGAATTATCTTTTGAACTTCTAGTTCACATTGTTTTGTACGAGGATCAAGATGAGATAGTGATAATTCATTCCAACTAATATCTTTTTCCAACTGTTTTTGTTCTCCCCCTAATGTTGGGAAAATCAACTCATTAAAATGGCAATCGGCAAACCTAGCCGTAAATAAATCGCCTGTTAATGGTTCAAGATATTTTATTATAGATGGGGATTCATACCCAACATATATTCCCAACCTTCTTTGAGGACCCATTTTGGTTCTTTGAGGAGGGGCAATTGGAACATATACAGCACACCCAAAGATTCTCAAATGAGAAATATTAGGTTGCTCACCAAAAACCAACTGTAAAGGAGAGAATTTGTGATAACTTGTTGGCCTGATGCGAATTAATATTGCGGCATGTAAGATTGCATGCCCCCAAGTTGACATTGGAAGTTTTGATCTCATGAGTAATGGTCTTGCAATTAGTTTTAAACGTTTGATAAATGATTCTGCAAGTCCATTTTGTGTATGAACATGTGCTACCGGATGTTCAATATCAATTCCAATGGATATACAATACTCATTAAAAGCATGAGATGTGAATTCACCAGCATTATCCAAACGAATTTTCTTAATTGGATAATCAGGAAAATGAGCTCTTAATCTAATTAGTTGAGCTAATAATCTCGCAAACGCCTGGTTGCGAGTTGATAATAAACAAACATGTGACCATCTTGTTGATGCATCAATTAAAACCATAAAATATCTAAATGGTCCACATGGGGGTGTATTGGTCCACAAATATTACCTTGTATTCGTTCTAAAAACAAGATAGATTCATGCCCAATTTTTGCTGGTGATGGTCTAATTATTAACTTTCCTTGGGAACAAGCGGTACATGAAAAAATATTTGATTGAAGAATCTCCCGGCTCTTCAATAAATGACCGCATGAATTTTCAATTATTTTTCGCATCATGATAGTCCCAGGATGACCCAATCAATCATGTCAAACCTCAAATTTATTTTGATTTGTAAACTTTTGGTTTACAATAATATTTGTTTCAACTGTATTAACATACGTGCAATACAGTCCATAAGAGAAAGCAGGTGATTTTTCCAATACTTCCTTTTTATTCAAGTGGATTTTCGTGATATAAAGATATTCTACATTCTCTTCATTGTTTGTTTCAATATGAAACCCATTTAAACGAATATCTTTGAAACTTAATAAGTTTCTATAAGACTTAGAAGAATATAATGCATTTTTAATATGCAACTTCGTTCCTCCCGGTAACAATATATTAGCTCTTCCGGAACCTTCAATTATATTTGTAGTACCAGATATGGTACTAACTTTGATTTCTTGCATCACTAAATTTGAAAAGAATTTATTCTTCTTGAGAATTGTGTGAGTCGTTGCACTATCAACGAGACACATATCTTCAATATTGATGCTATGGTCAATATCCATTCTTAAAATATTTGTCTTGAAAAATATGACTTTCTTCAAGAAAATTCTTCACAGCTTTGTCTTGTAGTTGCAACACCAATAGATAAAAGACTATCGTGCTAATAACGTGTTATAAAAGAAAGAAAAAGTTGAGAGAATAAACAAGATAATAAGAGATGGAGAATAGAATCTGACTGGTGTATTATCTTTGGGAGAGAAGTAACATATTTATAAGTATATGTGGTAACTGAACAATTACACAATAAAGGGAATAATACATAACGGACATATAAATGGTAATGATTGATAATGAATATTGACATTCACTAATTAAACCATTAATTATTATTCATAACACAATTAAATAAATTAAAAGTGTTTATTAAAAATTGTTAATGTAAAATAATAATAAAAAAACATTTGTTTTGGACAATATAATAAAGTGGGTTAATGCTGACATGATATATTGGAGATCACTTTTTTTATTTTCTAATGTATGAAACAACTCAAATAAGTTGCTTCTTTTACAGATACCCTTAGTAGCAGGCGAGTTTCACAAGGAATGTAATCCGAGAATTTTCCACTAAAATAAAATTTTTTTAAAAAAATTTACCAAAAAAGCATCTGTACTAATTTATTTACCCAAGTAGCACCTTTTACTGTTCACGTTCAGAATTCAGTTCCTGGGAAACCGAATTCTGAGCTGTTAAATTTTTAAATTTTTTTTTTTTTTGCGTTTTGGATCTGAGCATGGTATAAAACTGTGGATCCAGAACGACCCGTTCTCCTTTCAGAACAAGCCATTCCGAATGCAAAAATACACATATGCCGAATGGATCAAAACAAACCGTTCTGTTTGGACGTTCCAGTTTCAAAATTAACAAATTATACGTGCAAGCAGAACGACCCATTCTACTTGGAGAACAGACCATTCTAATTACAACATTAACACACAACCTGAACTACAAACAGAAAAGAAAAACAAAATTAAACACTACTCAGAATTCGATTCCCACATAACCAAATTCTGAGTATGCACAGTAAAAAGTACTAATTTTGTAAATAAATTAGATCGGGTGCTGTTTTGGTAAATTTTTTTTAAAAAAAGTTTTATTTCAGTAAAAAATTCGTAATCCGATTTGGTTGTTGATTTGTTGCATACATGCAGATATATAAACTGTAGATTTTGATACGCTAGTAATGTTATATCTCCTACTAATTAATTATTGTAAAGATGTTGTAATAACTAATAATAGATTTAGAGAGAAACGATGATTTGAAGAATGGATGAATCATGTGGTATGAGTGATGTTGTCTGACACGTGGAAATTCGATTTGGCACGTGTTGATAGAAAGATGTTGGAGTGTGGTATAAGTTACAAGTGTTGGCGGCATGCAACGAATTCCCATTAAATTTGGTAGCATATGATAATGAGCATTGGCGAAGAAGCAAATAGCAGAATGTCGTCAGTGACAACGTTAATCTCATGCTCGCTCCACAGAGTGAAGAGAAGCGCCATCCCTCTCTCTCCCACAAACATAAACTCGTTTTTCACTTCCAAAACTCCAACCCACACGATTCTCTCCATGAGCCGTGACCCGAACCATGTACCCGAATACCCGGGAAAGGGCCCACCCGAGGTCCCGACGCTGCCCAAAACCGAACCTCCTCCCATTCCAAAAGAGCAACTCGTGGTTCCGGAAATAGAACCCAGAGTGCCACCCGAAATAGTCACGGATCCTACTTTTGACCCGTACCCCAATCCCAAACCAGATGCACCAAAACCGCCGCTATCCCCACCCGGTCCTGAGACGCCGCTGCCGAAGCCGCCGGAGACGCTGCCGCAACGCCCACCGGATGTGGTTCCGCCGCGTCCCCCGGGACCGGATATTGTGCCACCGACTACTCCGCCGGATAGAACGCCACCCACTGGACCAACTATTATTGTGTAGCTTTTGCAATATTTTAATATACCAGTTTTCATGTTTCGTATTATAATTTCTCATTTCACCATAAATTATTAAGATAAAATAAATAAATAAATATTGCATTTCATAAATTATTTTGCTAAATTCTCAAACAAAATAGACGAGAAGGGAATGAGTATTAATTATTAATTATTAGCGCCACTTCCCACTAGGGAGTGTTACGAATTACGATAATAGGATTCGGATTTTGGAGGAAGGGCCCAATGGGCTCCAGATTGATTGGGATTGCAGGCTGGGATTTTGAAGCCCAGCCCCAAGTTGCTGAAGGGAAGGTTCTGGAGCAACCAGCCTTTGAAGGAGAGGAATCTAATGAAGGATAGTTGTCCAAAACTTTCAAAGCTTTGTAAGGATTCATATTTAGCAAAGTCTAAAATGTCATAATCTTCTCCCATGACCTAATTCCAGAACATAATCACATGCATTGCACAATATATAAATTACAATTTTTTTAATTATTATATACATCTATCAATTTATCTGTAATACAAAAGCCCTTATTAAAACTTGTCACTTATGCTTTTCAAATCAAAGTTTTATCTTTTCGAATTTCTTTTAATTTTCTTTTATTAACTTTTTCTATTTTTAGCCTTTCAACTTTTTTTTTATATATTAATTTACTATCAGTTTAGGGTTTTTAATTTTGAATTTTTATTTAACTTATTTAAATTATTTTTCATATAATGAAAAAATCAAAAAAGGAATTTGAGTATTATATTTATATGTGAAAGACTGATAATAGAATTTAAAAATAAATAAATAATAAATATTAATTAATAAATACGAAAGGCATACACTTTTTTTATTTTTATATTTGAATTTAGATTAATATCTATAATAAAATAATGTGTTTCATAACGTATTTAATATATATATATATATATATTAATAATAAAAGGAATATTTTTTAATACATTTATTTTTACTATTTTATCCTTATAATTACATGTAAATTATTGTTTATCCTCTAAAAAAAATCAGTATTTTTTTTTTCTTCTGCACTTCATTGTAAAGATCTGACATTGTCTAACACAGGTGGCACAATTAGTTACACAATCCGTAATTCCACTAAAAATATTCAATTTTTAAAAAGGTAAGTGATGGACTCTATTTATACATGAACATACATGATAAAAAATACTTTGATTTTTTTCTCGTTTTTATTATGAAAACAATTTATATAAAAATGATTATGATAAGTAACTACTTATTCAATAAATTTTTAATCAAGTTTACCTAACACTCTAACAGCACAATAAATGAATTATGAATTATCCTTTTAAAACATTAAATGAATGTACAAATTATTGATTGATATTTATTTGTTTGTCTGTTTTACTCAAAGAAAAATCGGAGAAAAATGTGTGTATCATATTGCATCCCGTCATCACATTCTCTTGATTTACGTATACTATCTAATGTGTTATGCTTTATAAAGTGGATTTCACTTAAGAAACAAAAAGTAAGCACAATATTTTTACATTAGTGATTATAGATTTCAAATCTTCTAAAACCAGTGAGAAAGCAGATAAGATTGTCCCTTAATTAAAATATTCAATTGAATGACGTATGCAATATCCTATTTGTTACCCTAATCACAAGTCCTTCAGTGATTATACATAATCAATCCAACAGAATGCTTTTCTTGTTCTCTATAGGTTTAGATAAAGTGATGCATGTATTGCTAAGTTACTGCGTTCAGGGTCTTGTTATGATCAACGATATAGCATACTCCCACATCAGCAAGGACGGAGCCAAGGGGGGACCTACGGGTGCCACGGCCCCCCCAACAATTTTAATTTTTTTTTATATACATATATATTACTATATGGCACCCCCTATTTTTAATATAAACTCATATTTTTAATATAAACTCATATGTATATTACTATATGGCACCCCCTATATGGCACCCCCAGTATTGAAATCCTGGCTCCGTCCCTGCACATCAGAATCATGATTAGTTTCACAAGAGTCAAGATTGGGCCTTCGGTTGTGATCACTAAGCCCATTTGCAGAAAAAGGTTGCAGGTTTATTGCATATCATAGGATCCAACAAGCTACAACTCCCCATTCTCTTGTTACAATTCTTAGTTTCCTTTTCACCTCAACTCAGTGGAAATGTAGGATTTTTACCAAAAGTTTCAAGGTAGAACGGGAAGTTCCACCTTGTCAAAGGAAAAGAAACTGACCCTTCCCTCTGCGACCAGGCAGATTTTCAAAGGAATGCCACCACACTGTCTTTCAAGAGCTTCAATTTCTGCTCTAGATGGTAGATGACCCCTAACAGAAGATACAAGTTATAATTGATTAAGTAGATTTCCATAAACTGATAATAAAATTGAAGGAAAAATTTGCATAATCAGTGTGGTTCATTTTCAATTCATTTTTTAAAATGAATGAGTATAATGTGTGCCTAAGTGATCCTAATAGATAAATACCTACAAGTCTACAACAGCTAGTTCCTCACTCTTCTTCACCCAGGAATTAGACCTATTCCTCCATGTCCAAATGCCTATCATGACAAAAGATATCTTAAGAGATAAAACCGCATCTTCCCATTGTCATTACTTTTAAATATGTTGAGTTCAATCAAAGACCCACATCATCAAAATAAGTAAATAATTACGAGGATTTAAATCCAAAGTGAACAAATATTATGACATGTGTTTAAAAACTCATGTAAAACTTTGATTGTACTCCAACAAAATTCTAAAAACACACACAAACACAATTAAGTAGCATCAGCATGCCTGTGCCAGCATGAGTTCCTCTGATACAATGGAGTGCAAAAACTACAAGTCATGATATATGCTAAAATTCCTCTGAGAAATGTTCTCGATTATTGATTATTCCATAAATTTCTGGATAACAGTATAAAGACCACTTGCCAATTATATTTCTAAATCTAAAGTGATCATATCATGCAATGAGAGATGAAGTAATTACCTAGACAAGTACAGCAGAAAACTCGGATCACCAGGGGAAAACTTTCTAAACCTGCTGTTTGGAATATAAACATCAAAATCTGGCCTCAAATCATTAATCTGCAACTCACCAAATAACTTATTAATGGAAAGCTCAGATTTGGAACCCATGTGTACTAGTTTTCTTTCTTCAGTAACTTCAAGGTCAACAGGTTTATGTGAACTTTTAATACTCTTCAAACTCCAAGCGACACCATGTCGCCCAACTATGTAGCCAAGAGACTTGAGATGCCTATAAACCTCAAACAGCTTCCAACAACACCCACTTTTCTTGCTAGAGACCTTTTCATACATTTCTGTTAGAGATATGTTTCTACCACCATTATCCAAGAGATGTAAGGCTCCTAGTTCCATAAGATACCTGCCAAATCAGCCTTTACATAAGTCACAAGTTCTCAAAACACATTACAAATTCTGAGATATACTACTTTCTAACACAAACAAGTGTATTGCCTACTTACATTGTTTATTATTCACAATTTCACATAAAGCTACGGCTTTAAGAATTATGCTACTTTCCTACTTCTAAATGTCACAACATAGTGCATATAAAAAGACGGCATATCACCTACAAAGTCTCCTCAATCGAAGAATAAATCTTGCCACTGCGAACTATTCCAGTTGATACCCACGTTTTGCCATTCTTCTCGATGACTTCTCCCATTCCCATCTCTTCAATTCAACAGCTTTTGGATTTCACATTACTGGCAAACGAAATGCAAAATCTCCACTTTTGAAAACCTTACTTAAGCAGGGGAAACAGATATGTAACTAATTTTCAGTGTACAGATGTTTGACCTGAACTGCAACTTGGGCATAGAACCAGATGAAAAGTGAAGCTCTTCTTCATCACTTGCATTTTGCAAGTGGACCTCATCATCACTATCTTCACTTGAAGAACATCCCCACGTCTTGTGTTCCATAGATCAAAAGCTGCAGTTTAAAATATCAACCAATTGAACGGAGGACCAAAATCCAAAAACAATTGTAAGGATCATTGGCAGCAACATCAGGAGGGGGTGAAAAATCATAAATGTCCCCACCTAAAATGCAGAATTATCCCTATATATATTACATATGCGTAAAAAGAAAAACCATAGATATAGAAAAGGCATAGACATATATTGCTGCTAGGAAAAAACATTTTCTAGCGGTTTCAAAAACGCCACAAAATACATTTTAGTTCTGTTTACATATAATATCATGGCAGGTTTTAGACCCCCAAAGCATGTTTGTATATATTTTTTCAACAATTTTTGGCAGATTAAAACGACCACAAAATATTTTTTTTTCACAAGCCATACTAGATTACACACTAAACCATACTTGAACACAAATTTTTTTGAGACCTAGTGAATACAAAATAAGCATAATCGATCAACACTAGAATACTTTTTGATCCTCTTCAATTATCACTAAATAACTAATGAATAATGCATGCATTTTATAGTAATAATTTTTCCAAACCCATATCCAGTATTACTCCTACATCCAAAATCACACATCAAATCTAAGAACTACAGCAACTCATACCAAACCAAGAAGTTACATTCAACCAAAGACAGACGTGAAGCCCTCGTGGGAATCAACAAACTCCACCCACAGTCCCTGCCACTAGTAGACCTTGCTCTGTTTCGCGTTCCTTCTAACACAGGTACCAACACAAACCTTCCCAGCTCCAAGACCTACGTAGATATTCCCAAGAAGTTGTATGTAAATCCAAGATTTGCACATACTAATTCATCAATGATGCTTTACCAATCCTGCAAAAAACAAAAGTCAATTAGTAAAAAAGATTCTGATGAGAAACTTAGCAACAATTACTCACATCACAAACTTTCACATATTGATAAGAAAATTTATCGAATCGCCTGCTAATTGAAAAACCATGATCAATTATAATTCAACTAAACTATGCACCCATTTCATACTAGAAATGTAAAGTAACAACAACAATTTTGCTAGCATCTCTTTCTTCTTGGTATTGTCCAAGTCATAGCTGTGTAATTGAATATGTAATCAGTAACCATTAGAACAAATTCTATATATAAACGAAATAAATACATATAGAAAAGAATGGGAAAAAAAATTCTATTGACATAAATAAGGCAAAAGGTAATCAATAACATACAATACATAACATGAAGCAAATAATCAAGATTTTGCTATTATAAATGAAAGATGACTAAGGTTCTTCCTTACCAAGAAATCGCAGGCACTAAAATTTCAAAAGTAGAAAGGTAATTCAAATTGCCTCATGTAAACTGCATGTCCATTCCATATCTCGTGTCTGTCTAAAGCTTCCATTATCCATATATTCTAGATCTCAAGTATTTAAGAAAATAAATAGTTGACATTATTCAGAAATGAAACATAAAAGATAACAAGCTTACATTCCAAGTAGGAATGGTCAAACCCCAGCTATAATACTAGGAACAACGCCCTGCATTAGATTTTATAATGAAATCAATTTCACAGAAAAATACCAAAACAACAATGAAGTAACCGTGGCTTTCTTCTTTCTCCATAGTAAAAAAATTGAGAAAGCGTGTCCAAGTTTTGGTAATTTAAATTACAAAACTATGTGCATGTCATTCAGTCACAAATTTCATTTCATTAAGTCTTAGCAAAGTCACTACAAACATTGGAATTTAAGGTTGTCACGTGTAAGTTTACCATAATTTGTAACCCGGTTTGTGCAGGGTGAAAATAAAATATACAGGAAAAGACAAAAGAAATTAGAGTGAAAACACTAGTAGCAAATTCATGAGTTCTAACTTCTAACCAAATAAAACAAGTTGCAAACATAAGTTCCAAACAAATAAAAAACACATAAGTGCCATATTACGTTGGGGCAACAACAGTTAAACATGACACAACAAAATACAGCAGGCAACAACCTACAATTAAAATTTTATAATTAACAACAGAAATTACAGAATAACTTCGTTAATTGATAATTTATAATTGAATCAACCACTAACCTATGTGTGACGTTCAAATTTATTTGTTTTCTAATTTTTTAAGCAAAACGGCGCCGTTTTCATTTTAATAAAAATCTCGGGCGGGTTCAGACCGGTTTGCACAGGAAAAAAAGAAATCGAAAAGATTTCTAACATGAAGACTGTTAGACTCCGATGGTGTATTTTGAGGCCCATGTAGCTGTGTCCCTTACCAAGCCCATAGTGATTACCTCGTAGGCCCATTTTCTTTTTCACATCTTCACTCGTAAAGAGTTAAGAAGAGACCCATCTGTTTTTCATGAAACCTCACTTGGAAAGCTAAATTTTACTATGATTCAGAGTTAGGAGATTCATGATGTTTTCAAATTTCAAGCATTGTACTCTCACATGTTTTCAAGCTCAAGATTGTCACCATATTAAGTAAATTCACAAAAGAAATAACTGCATGTTTATATTATTAACCATATGAACAATTTTAGAAGAGAAATTCTACACTATCTTTACATATTTAAAGGGTTTTGAAACTTTTTTTTTAAAAAAAATATATTTGACCATTTGATTTAGAATTTTTTATTTTTAACATGTTTATATTTTTCATTTCAATATATATTTTCTTAAAATTTTTATTATATATACGAAAATTTTCAATTTAGTAAACATATTTTTTATTTATAGTGAATCATGATAAATTGAAAGTTTTTATATTTATATTCAAATTATAAAAATAAAATTGAATAAAAAATTTACAAAATTTTATTAGAATCACGTTACTAGAAATTAATATTTTAGAGCTAGAAATATATTTAAAAATTATTTTTAATTTTAATTACTCTTTCTTATAGTTTTATAAATTTTATTTGTTAATTTTTATAATTTAAAAATATTTTATTTTAGTCTTAATACATATTATTTTTTTAATCTTTATCGTCTATTTTTATAAAGATTAAAAAATAAAATTTATAAAACTCTATAAACTAAAAAAAAATATGTAAAAAATTAAAATAAACTATTTTTAATTATAAAGCTAAAAATAAAGTTAAAGAATAAGAACTTAGTTGATGTTTGATGTTTATTTTTTGGTTGCTACAGTAGATGTACTAAACATCTGGATTGATTCTGTTTGTAATTACACAGTTTGTACTATGTTTCATGTCTCAAAATGATACAAGTACATGCCTCCTCAAAAAGAAAACAAACAAGGACATTACTGTGACAGGTGAAAAACAAATAATGGACCAGCCAAAAGTTTAGAAAGTTTCTAAGATGTTAAATTATCATACATGTATGCCTAAAGCTCATACTGTACATGTGTATACGTGTTTGCACTGAAAAATAAGTTACATACTGAAACATTGTCAGCTCAATCAGCTAATAGTTCTGCCTACTTTTCAAGGTAAAATCCAAGGCCTAACGTGTCACAAGAAAATAATTAGAGAAAAAAAAAAAGGAGGAAGTATGCCTATAATCTGTAATGAATTAATTGTAGATAAATGAATAAGACTGACCCATGAACAATGATTCTCATTGATGATAGGAAAATATCAGATACAGTATTCATAGACAAACACAAGTGATTGCAATTGTTGTATTTTTCTTTATAGTTATGTTATTAGTAGTATAAATTATTGACAATAACTAATTTTTGTCGGTAATATGTGTGCAAAAGGAGAAATTTATAATGAAAAATGAGATAGATTACTAATGTGAGAATTCAAAGCCATATTGAATAAATCAAAGCAGATTAAATTATACTTGGTTTTCATTTGCATAACATTTGAACGTTAAGACGACAAACAATTTAAAGCAAATGAGAGATTGAGTATCCGTTAATGAGGCATGTAAATGATGGAGATAATTTTGAGTTCTTCACTCATTAAGACCACTAATATGAATTAAATTAATTGCATATTGAACATCAAAAAGATAACTTATCTAATTTTTAATCCAATTTATACCTTTTATAAAAGAATGCAAAAGAACTTGCGAGTTTTAATTACTTTTTCTGCAGTCAACATAATCTAGTTTTAATTACGAGCTTTTGATATACCATTAGTTTATCTTGCGTACATTAGGTGATTTACATTCTTTACTTTATCATTAATTATTTGTTATTGTAATTGTACTGAGAAAGATACAAAAAATTTGACAAATAAACGACCAGCATACAAGTTTAGAAATTCTTAAAAAATTACATAGCTTTTGAAAATTTTGTTTTCCTTTATTGGTTTTTTGTTCCTGTTGATCTGTGTGACTCTAAAATAAAATAAAATAAAAATAGTTTCTCAACTAACTTCTTTTTTGTTAGTTGGCTATGATTCTGGTTTAATCTTGGGTTCTTTTGTATTTTGTATATATTTTCCTTTTCTTATCTTTCTCTCTTGTATGTAATTTACAAGGAGTGGTAGAACATGGTGAAGGTTCTTGTGGGACTTGTAACTTGTATTGCTTAAAGATCATAGTGAATTGATGTTGCTCTTCCCGTGGATGTAAGCCTCATGGCTGAACCACGTAAAGCTTGGTGTTCTTCTTTCTTTTTCTCTCATCTTTTAATTTCTGCATTTTATAAACATTCTTGCATCTATGTGCATATGTGTGCACCAATATTTTGTAGTTCTTTTATTTTTAATCTTCTTGTTAGGTGTTAGAAGCTAAAGGACCAACAAGTGGCGCCGTCTATCGGAATAAACACCATCAAGAATGGGAAATACAAAGTATGACATAGAGAAGTTTTCTGGTGAGAATGATTTTGGGCTTTGGAGGATCAAGATGGAAGCAATCTTGATTCAACAAGGGTGTGCAGAAGCTATAAAAGGAGAAGAAAAAATGCCAAGTTCTTTAACTCAAAAGGAGAAAACAAACATGATTGAGAAGGCTAAGAGTGCTATAATTCTATGTCTAGGTGACAAGGCTCTCAAGGAGGTTGCTAGAGAGAAAACTGTTGCAGCTATGTGACTTAAGCTGGAGTCTTTGTACATGACAAAGTCATTAGCTCACAGATTATGTTTGAAACAGAGATTGTACTCATTCAAGATGACAGAACAAAATCAATTGTGGATCAATCAGCTGAGTTCAACAAGATCTTGGATGATTTGAAAAATATAGAAGTACAACTGGAAGATGAAGACAAGGCTCTGCTCCTTTTGAACTCACTGTTAAGGAACTTTGAACACTTCAAGGATGCCATTCTTTATGGCAAAGAACAGGACATTACTTTGGATGAAGTGCAAACTTCAATTAGGACTAAAGAGTTACAAAGATAATAAGATAACAAGACAGATGATAATGGGGAGAGTTTGAACATGTCAAGAGGCAGAAGTGAGAAAAAGGGACAAAGTTAGAGAGGAAAGAAAGTTAGATCAAAATATAAAATTGGTGACAGGTCAAAATTCAAGTGCTTCCATTGTCACAAGGTTGGTCATTTCAAGAAAAACTGTCCTGAGAGGAATAGGGACCAAAAATCATCAGCTGATTCTGTTGACATAGCTGCAATATCTGATGGCTATGAGAGTGCTGATGTTCTTGTAGTCACAACTTCACAAACACAAAAAGACTGGGTTATGGACTCAGGGTGTTCTTATCACATGTGTCCCAAGAAGGACTATTTTGAAACCTTGAAGCTTAAGAAAGGAGGGACAATGTTGCTTGGAGATGATCATCCATGTCAGGTACAAGGAATTGGCACAATCAGGCTAAAAATGTTTGACAACAGAGAATACATCCTTAAAGATGTGAGGTATGTGTCTGATCTCAAGAGAAATCTTATATCTATAAGCATGTTTGATAGTCTAGGTTATGCTACTAAGACACAACATGGTGTACTTAAAATTTTGAATGGGTCTCTTGTGATTGCTAAAGGTAAGATAAGAATAATGGCTTGTTTGTCTTAGATGGATCTACGGTTATGGCTCATGCATCTATAGCTAGAAATGACATTAATAAAAACAAAATTATGGCATTTAAGACTAGGACATGTAAGTGAGAGAGGCCTAATTGAACTAAAAAAACAAAATCTGCTCAAGGGTGATAAGCTTGATAAGTTAGAATTCTGTGAACATTGTGTGTTAGGTAAGTCTCACAGGGTAAAGTTTGGAACTGGTATACATGTTTCTAGTAGGCCTTTTGAGTATGTTCATGCTGATTTGTGGGGACCTTCTAGAGTTAAAACTCTAGGTGGAGGTTCTTATTTTCTCACTATCATTGATGACTTTACTAGAAGAGTGTAGTTGTATGTACTAAAAGATAAAACTGAAACATATAAAAATTCAAGGATTGGTATACTTTGATCCAAAACCAACTTGAAATCAAGTTAAAAATATTAAGGACTGACAATGGCCTAGAGTTTCTTTCAAAGCAGTTTGTTGAGTTTTGCAAGAACCAGGAGATTAAAAGACATAAAATAGTCCCTCATACACCTCAACAAAATAGGCTTGTTGAGAGGATGAATAGAACTATCTTGGAAAGGGTTAGATGCATGCTTCTTGGTTCAGGATTGTCAAAGAAATTCTGGGGTGAAGCTGCTACCACTGCTGCATATCTCATAAATAGGTGTCTTTCTTCTACATTGAACCATAAAACTCATATGG